CTCTCAGCCTCACACACCAGCTCAGGCTCCTTCCCCACCAGTGAGGTGACATTCCACGTCCCAATAGCCAGCTTCTGTAGCTGAGGATCAGACCGCCAGGGTCCCCGCCCTCGGCCACCACCCATCCCACATTGCACCCGACCCCTTTGGCCCCTCCCACAGGTGGTGAGCCCATGGGAAGGGGGACCAACGTCTCCTCTTCGGGCTGTGCCCGGCCGAGCTCCATGGGTAAAAGCCTGGCCACCAGGCGCTCGCCCGCGTGCCCCACCTCCAGGCCTGGCTCCAGAGTGGGGCCCCGGTGACCCACGTCCGGGTAAGGGAACATTAGGTCTGTTTATTTTTCTCATCAAAGGGGTTTTTGGGCTGCACTTTGTCTGGTCCCTCACCTAGGACCTGTCTGCCATGGGTGACCCTACTAGGGGCATAAAGCCCCTGACAGCATAGCTCCTAGGATCATTGGGACACTCAAACCCCTTCACCACGGTAAGGTGGCATCAGTAAATAAATCATCAGTTATACACAGAAATGCAAACTAATTTGAATCAATTTACACCCGTTGTATCAAACATAGTTTGGTAATAAGTCTCTCAATAATGTTGTTCTTGGTCTGCAGCTTGACAAAACGCACCATGCTTCTTCTGTCAGGGAAAATCTTTATCACTTTGTCAAGAGTCCAGGAACCACGTGGGGCAGACAAATCCATGACGACGACATCTCTAGATTTTAAACTCTTGTTTCCTTTGATTCCTCTTCTGCCTCTCTTGCAATAATGGCAGGTACTCCCTGATCCAACGTTTCCAACACAAATCCGAAATATACTGAACTTGTCTCCAACAACATTTCACATACATATCAGAGGGTTCAAATAGCCCAGGTGGTAATGTAGAGTTTAGAGTTGAATAAAATTGTATTTTTCTGACTATTTAACCTGTGATATAAAGCGTTTTTGGTGCATGTTGTTGTGAGCCACCCGAGAGGCCTGAGGGGGGAGGCTTGGCCCACCCAACCCCGCACGCTATATCGAGGTTCTCACGCTCTCGTGCTATCTAGAGGTTTTTAAGCTTCTCACGCTCTCACGCTATCTCGAGGGTTTTCACAGACTTTAAGTCCAGGTGGGCATGTTTTGTTTACTGGGAGATGTTCCCATGTAATGCAGAGAGTATTAAAGTGTAACACTCAGAATAAGAGTGGAAGTCTGCTGTGGATCCTGATCCGATGCCCAGCCAATTGATGTTATCTTTCTACTCGGACTGAAACGACTTCTCGGTCTGGTGTCATGGTGAGGGGCTTTTACATCAATGTTTGATTTGTACTGAATGTACTTGTGCTTTGCTTCACTTTATCTGTGTCGGTTTAATAAAATGACACTTATTATTCTAGCAGAAACAGCCTGTGAGTGTTTATTCATTGCTCCGATCATCCCCCCGAACCTGTACTTTGTTTAAGATAATTTCATAGAACATGTAGTTTTCCCTTTAACAGAAGATGATTTGGTGTGTAGCATGAAGCTGCACTGCTCTAACTATGACCCCTGACCCTTTTTCATCTTCCAGACTCACCATGAATCGTTTTTTTCAAAGTCACATCTGACTTCAATAATGTCTGATGTTTTTCTACACATTTCCTGTCCTTGGATACAGAGCCAGCTACAGTCTGACTAATATTTATCTAATTTCTTCCTAAGTTTCTAAGAAAGAAAAACGAATCATTAATGAAGTTTGTTTTATTTGCTAAACAAGTGTGAACATGAATAATTTTGATTGTTGTTTTCAATCACTATAATGAAATAGTGAAATATTACAATGTGGATAAAATATTTCTTTGTTCTGTTTTTCAGAAAGTGATTATTCCTTCAGATACACTTGTGAAAAAATTGTCTTTGAGCTGGAAGCTGTTTTCTTCAGAGGGGGAGCTACAATGTTCCCTAGTTAGTCAAAACAATCTTCTCAGAGCTGTTGTTTTGCACAAAGTTGTTTTGTGAAAAAGGCAGTTCACCTTGGACCCCTGAACTGAGCAGTTCATCTCCGGCCCCGAACCGGAAGACAGTTCATCTGTGGACGCGACCCTCGGGGGGTGTGCCTAGGTCCACTTGTTCAACTCCTGAGTAGATAAATTTGGAACACACAACACAAAACTGATAGTGCGTTTCCTTGACTGATGAAGCCTTCCGGATCGAAGGCGAAACGTTTCAGCACAAAAAAAAAAAAAAAAAGAAAGTGTCCAGAATGACCTGACTGAAAAATGTTGTATTGTATAACTGGATTATTGAGCATGGAGTTTGTTGTTTTCAACCAGTTTGACATGACTGTCAACAAGGAAGAGGGCCAGTAATGGAGAAGGGGGCGTGGCAAAGAGACCATCTTAGCACCAACATAACTGGCTTGTTCCACTTTGGAGTAAGCTGTTGGGGGAAGAATCAGTTTTGTGTTAAGCCTTCCGGATCGAAGGCAAAACGTTTCAGCACAAAAAAAAAAAAAAAAAAAAAAAAAAGTGTTCAGATGACCTGACTGAAAAATGATGTACTTGGTAAATCATTTTCTGGCTTGCAGTGTTAGGATTTATGTATTTGGATTTGAGCAAGACACCGGGCAACAAGAATGGTTTAAAGACTTTATTAAGAAAACACTGCTGGTGGAGGTGGAAGTCCTGGAGCGAGCCCAATCTTCTCATTCAGATGAGATGAGTTTCACCTGATAGAGTTGGACAGGGTGATTTCACCATAGCAAGCAGGACTGTCGCAGAGAGGTAGTTTGGGGAGATCCAGAGGAAATATCCAGGAGTAGAGCAGAGAGTCGGTACTGAGGAGGCAGAGGTCCAATATTGATTCCAAGAGGGTCATCCAAGAGACGTAGTAATTTATCCAGAAGTGTAGGTCAGAGCCTTGATGAGGGGTGAAACAGTAACAGGCAAGGAGCAGGCAATTCAACAATCCAAAAAGACAGGCGTGGGGTCAAGATCAGGCAAACCAAAAGAGCAGTGACATGAATGCTGGACATCAATAACCACAAGGGATTCGATAATCTGGCAGAGTGTGGCTGTGAGCATGAGGCTTAAATAGTGCTTGGAACAGGTGGACAGAATGAGCCTAATTGTGTGGAGGTGCAGAGGGGCGTGGCTTGAAAGCAAGGCTCGAGATAAGAGCATGATAGAGGAAAACAAAACATGACTTGGCAGAAATGTGACATGCAGTGACGATAAATGACTATCTGATCACATTAATTTCTTTCAACCAAAATCCAAAGTAAACTATTAAAATAGTCAAACTTTGTCTAAATTCATGCGCGCACAAAACCAAAATAATTCCTGCTCAAAGAGTGAATTTTGCCTTAGATAAGAGAATTAAACCTTGATTGATTCATTATTGTCGTTTATTATTGTTGTTGATTTTTAGTTGGATTATTTTTGTAATAAAATTTCAAAGACAACTTTGGTCTCTTCATTCAGATGAATATTCATTTGTTATGGTATAGAACTCTACTATATAGACAGCTGATTACCCACGTGACTTAATACCCGTTCACAAATATATTCATTTATCAACTGCTCCTAGAACTATGTTTGGCATTTAAAGGAAGGAGAGAAATAGTGGGGGAGATCTACAACTATTTTAACTTCTGTATTTATTTTCTTAAACAACCCAAGTACATGTGGGGGTGTTGAGATTTGAGTGTGTACTCAGATTGTGTTATGTGTTGTAAATATTTATTATAAGATGTAATGTTTTATTTGTACCACAGTGTGGTGGCAGAGAGCTGTTTATATAATGAGCCAGTCACCACACACCTGTATTATATGAGCAATCACGTGATGTGTGTATATATTGCCTGTATAGAATGCTTGTATTCAATTCTTGTAGCTAGTTGCTTTTACTTCACTGTTGGACTATGCTACTGCTTACACTGCTTTTAGGCCTCAGAAGCCAACTTATGTGTCACCTGGAATAACGATGCTAAAAGGGAGAAATGTCTCTACTGCTTCCTGCCTCGGCATTTATGCTGTAATCCGCTGTGACATGTCTAATACTCAACAGCCACCTTGCTGCAAGGAAATTTTCCCTAAAGGGACTATAAAAGTGATAATGACGACGACTGGCTGCTCTCATCAAAAACAAGCCAGTCACAGAACTCGACAGAGTCATTCCTTTTCCATTTTTGTTAAAAAGCGCCATTTAACTTTTGGTTCTTCTCTTGACTCCTCTTGAGAAACATTTTTGTTGTCTGCAACCTGCTTAACTCCTGAAATGTCCCGCCACAATGCTAACGCTTTCTCCTTCTGTAATGGCATTTAGAGCAAACTAGAAGCAACTCAGGCACATTACTGCCCCCTACAGGTTAGGAGTACAAATTGAACACGCTTTTTTTTCTGTTCAAATTGCAAACCTGCCACCATGGCTGGTGTGTTGTTCAAATTTACATGACACTTCAAACATTCACCCTCATTTGGCCAGTGGCGGGTGCCAAATTCTTCCCCTGGCTGTGAAGGTGCTGCAGGCAGGAAGAGCAGAGCAGTAAAATAGAAAAACCTGGCTGAAGAAATGTTTTCAATGAACTAGTCTCTAACAAAAGGAAGAATAGGAAAAATCAGGTAACACAAGAACAAATTAAAGGCCTAGCGTTCCATGCTGGCGTGTTAAGAAATGTCAGCCTTGTAACTATTTTGGTTAAACCTTGAAAAAAAATGAGCAATCTCATGCAATATTCTGATATCTCACATGCTTTGGCCTGATCAGTTACTGCTACAAGCATGTGCTGTAAAAGACCTCGGCTGACTTAGAGCCATGTGATTGCAGTGGCCATCTTGGATTAGGTTGACTCTAAAAGTTTTAAATGTACATCCATTGATTAATTTCTGACAGATTCATTAACATTTGTTCACTGGTTCATGTGATATATGTTAACAGTAGACAGATGAACATATGCACACATACAGGCATTATTACTTAATCTTTGCATTCAGCAGCAGGAGATCAAGAAAGTTCTGTGCTTTTCAAAGGTGTGCACCTGAGCCAGAGCCCGAGTTGAAGTCATCGTCATCTTCAGGGTAGTAACCTCCTGATCCGGCCTCATTCAAGTACAGATCATCCACTTGAGAGGAAGTCCTGACTGCCTGCACTATCTACGAAGCAAACAGATCAAAATAACTCATTATCATTCAAACAAGATCCAGTTTCAGCTGAGAAATCAAATCATCCATCTCCACTTAGCTTTGAGTGCAATATTTCAACTGCAGACCAAATTTTAATTATTCTGCAGTAAAATACTCCATGGGCAGTGACCTTGGCGCTCAGACCCTGGCTTACCAAAGCTGGCTCTTGGGACATGGAATGTAACCTATCTGGCAGGGAAGGAGCCTGAGCTTGTGCATGAGGTTGAGAGGTACTGACTAAATATTATTGGGCTCACCTGGACGCACAACATGGACTCTGGAACCAATCTCCTTGAGAAGGACTGTACTTCATACCACTCTGGAGTTGCCCATGGTGAGAGGCACCGGGCTGGTGTGGGTCTAATTTAGCTACTTTTGACTTTAATTTGTCATGTGCACCACATGTGGCACATGTGGTGGAACAAAATTGTGTGCACGGGATCCCATTTGCATCCAACAATAAAATGTAAAAGAAAACAGTAATAAGATCTAAGATGTGAATTAAGAAAAACGTTAACTAAAATATGCTAAACACTAGTAGCATAAAAACAATACACCAAATAGCAGCACGAACATTAGTCTGTGTGGGAAGATGAGTACAAATAAACACAGCAGCATGAAATAGATCAGTAGAATGACGTGATTTTTTTTCACACAGTGATTATCCTGGTTAGGGATTCATGAGTCTTATATATATTTTTGTTCAAGCAACCATTAGACAGGAAAATCCCATTGAGCCTCGAGGACTCATTTACAAGAGAGACCTGATTTCAACAAAGAATGATGAAAACGATGGATAACAGCGACAACAATAGACAGCCACAAAAAGGCATATAGATTTTATTTGATTTTTTTTAACAAATAAGATGGCACAAAAAAGTAACAAAAACAGCTAGATGATAAAGCGAATGTAGAAAACTAAAAACAGGAACATGTCTGCATTGGTCCTTGCCAGGAGTCCAACAGATTCTTAAAGCCACTTAGAGAGGTCACTGTCGAGATAATAATGTCCTGAGAGCGCACACTGTAGCTGCACTCATGCCAAGACATGTACGAGGAGATGTATGAAGGCAGCAGACCAACAAGTGATTTAAAGATGAAAATGTACCAGTGAGAGAGTCTGCGTGTAGTTAATGGTGACCAGTTAACCAGTGAATACAGGATGCAATGATGGTATGATAATCACAGCCAGTTATGAATCTTAGTGCACCATGATAGACAGCATGCAACATCTGCAGGGTGCTTGTAGGAGCGTTCATGTAAATAATGTCACCGTAATCAATGGAGAAGGAAAGTCACAATTACAAGCCGTTTCCTAGCATTCAGAATTAGACATGATCTGTTTTTGAAAAAGAAACCCAGTTTAAATTTAAGTTTCTTTACTAGGTTTTCCCACATGGAGCTTTAAAGAGAGATGCAAGTCGACCAAGATACTCAAATATTTATAGTAATCAACAAACTCAATCGGGACAACGTTTGAGAATTAAATCAGAGGAAGAACTGCTGGGACCGACTTCCTGTTTTTAAAAAAGCATCCCTTTGGTTTTGTCGGCATTTAGAACAAGTTTGAAGCGGAACAAATCAGACTGGATGATGTTGAAAGCAGATTGCAAAAGCTGGAAAGCCTTATTAACTGTTTTAGCTCGACAATAAACAACTGTGTCATCAGCATAGAAATGTAAGGATGCATCAGGGATGTTTTGACCTACATTACCTATGAAGATTGTAAAGAGGGTGGGTCCTAAGAATGAGCTTTGTGGTACACCATTGTTGATTGTTAAATAACTAGAGGAAGTACAATTATGTTGAACATACTGCCTCCAATCAGAGATAGAGAACCAACCAATGGTGTGTTCTGAGAAACAGATTTCTGAGAGCTTATGGCACATTATGTTATGATACACAGTGTCAAAAGCTTTAGACAGGTCTAAGAAAAGTGCAGCACAATAATCCTTAGCATCCAGTGCTTCAACAACGTCATTAAGAACCTTCAGTGAAGCGGTCGTTGTGCTGTGTTGTTTCCTGAAACCAGATTGAAGGTGAGGTAAGATGTTAAATGAGTCCAGGTATTTTTTGATTTGACAGTTTCAGTTTTTCTAGAACCTTGGCTAAAATGCAGAGTTTAGAGATTGGTCCATAGTTGTTGAGTGAGGTGGGGTCACCTCCCTTCAGCAAAGGAAGAACAAAGGCTGTTTTCCAAGCATCTGGAATGGAGTTTTGGCTTATGGAGAGATTAAAAGATGTGGGTCACAGGGACTGTGATGATACAAGTGGCCAGCCTTAAGAAATAGGGTGGAAGTTCATCTGGTCCTGCAGATTTTTTATGATCAAGACCTTTTAACAATTTATTTACCTCACTAAATGAAAACGGAGGAAAAAGAGAAGGTGTAATTAACTGAGGATCGACTTGTAGGAGGGATTTGAATTGTAGAAGTTTAGTTATTAAGTGAAGTGGCTGATTTTCCATTAGTAACTGTGTCAAAAAAAAAACTAGAAGCAACAAAATGTTTGTTGAAACAGTTAAGGATCTCGTGCTTATTTGACAAAGGAACAGAGTTAAGAAGTTGTGATGGGAGGTCAGATGATTGGGGGCTGCCTGAGAGAGATTTGATGGTTTTCCAGAATCTGTTAGGGTCATTTAGATTTTTGGAGGTCTGAGATACGAAATAGTATGGCAGTTGTGCATTTATTCCTCATTTGTCAAAAATTCAACCAATCAGTGTCTGAGCCAGATTTTCTCGCTGTAACCCAAAGATGAGCTCGCCTGTGCAGGAGGTCCGCTAGCTGTAGAGTAAACCAGGGGCTGTTTCGTCCCTTTATTCTGAACTGACAAAAAGGAGCATGTTTGTTCACAAAATAAATGAAACTATTATGAAAATAGTTCCAAGCGGAGTTCACGTCGTCAGTTAATAGAATATGATGCCAGTCAAAGTGAGACAGATCCCAGAGGAATGACTGTTAACAAAAGCATTTCAGATCCCTTTTTTTAATTAATCTGGTCTTAGAAGGTGGAAGTTTAATATCTCTGAGAGCCGCTATTACACAATTATCACTTAAAAGGTCAGTAAATACACCTATACCAGGGAATTTGTGAGGCATATTAGTTAGAAACAGGTCTAAGATGGAAGATATTTCAGTACAGTATTTGTTTGGTCTACTGGGAGAATTGATCAATTGGGTGACAGGCAACATTCCTTGAATTTATCACAGAAGGGGGGTTGACTTATCCCAGTCAATGTTGAAATCTCCTGCCAAAAAAATCTCTTTGAATTTTAATTTTCCAAGGAATTCCATCAGGGAGGACAGAGGGGGGATGATAACAACCTACTAGAGATAAGATCTGGCCTCCATTCAAGGCGTAAAACTGGTTTGGAATTGTTTTAGCAGATAAGACTAGAAACCAGAGAATCTCAGATGTAAATAGCGACTCTACCCAACCCCCCACCCCCCCTTTTTTATTTTTACGATCACAGTGATAGATGTTAAATCCATTGATTACCAAGTCATTATTCAGTACAGATTTGTTGAGCCAGGTTTCAGAGATGAAGATTACATCTGCCCCAGAAGAACTGACCAGAATTTTCTAGGCATCAAGTTTTTTCAGAAGGTTACGAGCTACATGCAGAAAATGAAGTTCTGACATGTTTTTAAAGTCATTTGGTGTGCTGTAATTAGTGGGGGGTCCACAGTTGGGCTGAATCCCTAAGAGCAGTAACAACATTATTATCAGACATTTTCTTGAGTTTTTCGTGACTGATGTGTAATTACAGGAGTTAGTAGTGTGACAATTAGCCCCCATAATTTAACCATGAGAAACATTCATGAATACGCGATAAATCATCTAACTTGCTATGAGTATGTTACTTGAACAATCTAGTAAACAAAAAATATATTATATATGAATGTTAAAGTATAATGATATGATAAATAAGAATGACATTTCTAATAAGCATTAGACATATGATAATTTTATTATTAACCTTGTGATGACCAGTGAAAACAGGGATAACTATAATATTTGTGCCTTTTTTATCTGTAGAATAAGAGAGTTTGTAGGACATCATGACATGAACCGTCATGATTTAACCTTGCATTATTAGATTGGATCATGTGCGCATAATTAATCTTCAATGGTACATTTTTATCTGTGTAAATACAAGATCATTTCTGCTGTTTACTCGTGTTTTTTAATAATGTTTATCTTAAATTTGAATTGTTTTGTTATTGACATACATGTGTAATGATCAGTGCTATGAAATTTCACCTGAGGTGGAATGCTGAGGTGTTTATTTTTATTAAATAAAATTGAAGGTCTGTTGGGGGTGATGACAGCTCTCATCTGGTCTCAGGAGAGGAGGAGAGTAGACAATAATACAAACCGGATTCCAAAACAGTTGGGACACTAAACAAACTGTGAATAAAAACTGAATGCAATGATGTGGAGGTGCCAACATCTAATATTTTATTCAGAATAGAACACAAATCACAGATCAAAAGTTTAAACTGAGAGAATGCATCATTTTAAGGGAAAATTTGTAAGGGTCCCACTGCCTGCAGCCTGCCTTGCTGATGGCCGCTGATTAACAACACCTGGCGGTCATCAGCCTGATGAGCCTCTCCATCTACAAAAGGCTGCAGCCCAGTGTGACTCATCGCTGGAGCATATCACCTCTCATGGTATAGTACTGTTGAGCTAGATATGTCTAGGTGAAAATAATTTGTTCACCTGTGTTCTCTTTTCCAGTTTCCTGGTTCCTCGTGTTTTTGGATCTCCTCGTGACCTGATCTGGATCCCTCGGCCTGTCAGGTATTCCTCGTGCCATTTTTGCCTCCAGTTGCCAGCCTTCCTCGTTCCCTTGGACCCTCGTTGGATTCCCCTCTGCTGTTCACTCCTTGGACTGAAGGACCAGCTCCCTTCCTTCGGGTTTGGACTGTAAGGACAAAAGAACTTCCTTCAAACAAACCACTCAGGTTTTCTCCTCTGGACCAACACTAATCTGTCGTCCCTCTTTCCAGGAGTGCTGAGATCCGGCGTGTGAATATTCACTGTGTCTGCTTTCCGATGAGCAAAGGTAATCACTGGAGGTAGCGATAAGCACCTTTGCTTGCAGCCTCTCCTCCAAGGGGTCCGGAAGCTTACTTCAGTGCAGTGGTATTACCTGTAGCTGTCTAAAGTGGCCTCATTAAGGCTGCGGCGAGGTGATTCATCCAGAATATTAACGACCTTAAATCCGTGAGTCACACCCTAATTTCACTCTGTTACCTCGACCCTTCAAGCAGCAGGGAATGGATCTTCTGGTCCAGAGAAACTCGCGTTGTGGCCGCTCACCTCT